AATAAAGTTTATATTTCTTTTATTTCCTTTTTTACTTTTTACAATTTCTACATTTTGTATCCCGGTTGTGTCCCCTCCTCATCTCCTCCTGGTCCCACCCTCCCTGCCTCTTCCTCACCTGTCCCTCTCCCCTAGTCCACTGATAGAGGAAGTCCTCCTCCCCTACTGTCTGACACTAGCTTAGCAGGTCCCATCAAGAATGCCTGGATTCTCTTCCTCTGTGAGTTAGCTAGGTCACCCTACAAGGGAGAAGTAATCAAGGAGCAGGCAACTGAGTTCACATCAGAGACTGTCTCTTCTCTCCATACTTGGAGACCAACATAGAGATTGAGCTGTTTATGGGCTACATCTGAGCAGGGGATCTAGGTCCTCTTTGTGCATAGTCTTTGGTTGATGTATCAGTCTCTGAAGTCCCCTATGGGCTCAGTTTTTTGTTTTTTTTTGGGGGGGGGGGTTTTTTTTTTTTTTTTTTTTTTTTTTTTTTTACTTTGTTGGTATACTTATGTGATTCCTGTCCCTTCCAGGTCCTTCTATATCCCCCTTCTTCCATAAGACTCCTGCACTCTGAGATTCCCTCACAAAGGTTAAGATCAAAAACTCAAATGACAACACATGCTGGAGAAGATGTAGAGAAAGGGGATCCCTCCTCCATTGTTGGTGGAAATGTGAACTTGTACAACCACTTTGGAAATCAATCTGGCACTTTCTCAGAAAACTTGGAATAGTGTTACCTCAAGATCCAGCTATACCACTCCTGGACATGTATCTGAAAGATGCTCAACCATACAACAAGGACATTTGTGCAACTATGTTCATAGCAGCTTTATTTGTAATAGCCAGAATCTGGAAACAACCTAGATGCCCTTCAATGGAGGAATGGATACAGAAACTGTGGTATATTTACTCAGCAACTAAAAACAAGGAAATCATGAAATTTGCATGCAAGTGGTGGGAATTAGAAAAGATCATCCTGAGTGAGGTGTCCCAGAAACAGAAAGATACACATGGTATATACTCACTTATAAGTGGATATTAGTTATATACTATAGGATAAACATACTAAAATCTACAGACCTAAAGAAGCTAAACTACAAGGAGTACCCTAGGGAAAAAGGCTTAATTCTCATTCAGAAGGGCAAACAGAAAGTTTATATTTCTATATAACCTTGAATCCAACTTTTATGTCCACTTTGCTTAGCAATAACAGCGTGTTTTTGTTTCAGTGGTGCATTTATACTTTCAAGATGTGAATTAGGCACCCTTACTGAGTTTCTTGGTTTGATGTTTATTTGATGATTTCTCTGAATGAATTCTATAAATTCTCTATTTTACATTATGTCCATCTACTAAAAGATTTACTCAGTTAGACTTCATTTCACCCACTGTTGGACAGGTATTTTTCTTACTTGCTCCAAACAAATTCTAGTATTACAAGAGACTATGTGTGCATACTGGGATTATCTGCAACATTCATGCAGTTGCTTTACAGTTTAGTATTAGTTATTTTACTCACTGCTTGCACAAAGCCTCAAGTTTACCTGTAGGTGAGGGCATAGGGCCTTCTGATATCTTAAATTTTTCTTGACTGTGAATAGCCTTCTAATGACCCTGGCCCCTATGAGCATTTCATTTCAAGCTTTTCCTTTGAAGACATTTAGTTATCCTAGGAACATCAACTGTTGCCCATGACTTCAAACACTCACAGTTTCAAAACTACCTCTGATTGACTACAACATACACCTCTGAAGAAAAGACTATTGTAGTGGGAAAGCTCAGAATCAGCTTAAATAGAGATAAGTCTAGCATATGGTATCACTCAAAGAATCGCAGAACAATGAAGTATTAACTGATATGCTAGCCTTCTTCCATGCTTAAAGTGAATCTGGGGCTGCAGTTTTTTGTTGTTGTTTTGTTTTGTTTTGCTACTATAACTGTGATCTTAGGGCTTCCAAGGCTACCTTGGTGCTATGGAGAAGGAAGAAGGCAATGAGCCAAGTGAAAACAATACAAGCTTCTACTGTGATGAATAAACACTTACAGACTAGTGAGTTCATACCATAAGCATCTTTATGGGTCTGGGCCCAAGGGAGGGTGCCAGAATGTCACTCAGAAGGGGAAAAAGAATAGAGAGCAGAAGTGGATAAAGAGAGGAAACTGGGCAGGAGATGGATGGGGAGGGAAGTAAGAGAGGGAATCGAATATGGGGAAACCTGGGGTGGGACATGAGAGAGCTGGAAACAAGAAGTGAAACTGAGGGGAACATCTCTTTGTCAAGCTGGAGACCTATGACAAGGTAGGCTCCTAGGAGAATATGGGTGTGACTCTAGCTGAGACTCCTAATGAAGGGGAGGACATGAGACTGAAGTGACCACCTCTAGGCAAGACTAGTGGAAGGAGGGCAACAACAATCCACCCACAAAATCTTCGATCCAAAAATTACCTTGCCTACAAGAAGTTCAGGGATAAAGAAGAAACAGAGATTGAGGGAATGTCCAACCAATGACTGGCCCAAACTGAGACCCATCCCATCCCATGGTAGAGAGCCAGCCCCTGGCACTATTAACGATGTTCTGCTATGCTTGCTGACAGGAGCCTAACTTGACTGTCACCTGGAAGTCTCCAGCCAGCAGTGGATTGAGACAGATGCTGGGACTTGCAGCTAAGCATGTGGCTGAGCTCAAAGAGTCCTGGGGAAGTGTTGAGGAAAAGATGGAAGGACCTAGAGGGGACAGAAAGCCCACAAGAAGACCAACAGAGACAACTAACCCAGTCCCATGGGGACTTACAGAGACTGAGACCTCAACTAAGGAGCATGCGTGGTCTGGACCTAGGCCCCTGGCACATATGTGGTCAAGGGCAACTTGATCTTCATATGGGTCACTCACTCACACTCGGAGGAGAGGGGCTGTTCCTAACATGAACTCTATTGCCTGCTTTTGGATCACTTACTTCTGGCAGGACTGCCTTGCCTGGCCTCAGGGGATGAGGATATGCTCAGTCCTGATGTGACTGAGAGGGTTGCTGGGAGGGTTGATATTGAGGGAGAGGGTTACCCTTTTCTGAGGGGAAAGGGAGAGGAGAAGGAAAATGGAAAGGAAGGGGAGGAGAGGAAGAGGGGCAGCTTTGGGATGTAAAGTAAATAAACTAAAATTTTTAAAAAGAATAAAAAATAGAATGTAGAAGAAAAGAAACATTCCCAATAAAGAAAATAAATTATCTGAGCATGGTGGCACATACCTATTATCCCAGAACTCTGGGAGGAAGAGGCAGGTAGATCACTGTGAGTTCGTGGCAAGTCTGGTTTACAAAGGGAGTCCAGGACAGCCAAAGCTACACAGAAAAACCTTGTATCCAAAAAGGGGGAGAAATAAAGAAAAGAAATTTATGTAATAGAGTGAATATGCTCACTTCTCAATTTTATGAAGCATTCACTATTTCACCATAAGTCATAAAATTCTAGGGGAGTCTTCTTTTTAAAATCTGGAAGTCTCCTCATTTGTTCTTACTTTATTAAGGGTGTTGGTCTTATATAAGCTTTGCAGAAATTTCCAAAGGGCTAATGGAACTTTTTGGAATGATAACCAAGTGGATTGAAACTTGTCTCTTATTTGGTACTCATTGTACACCAAACAGTGCAATGGTAATTTGAGGCTTATGGTGATTATACATTTCTCCATCCATGACTATGTACTTAGATATCAGAAAGTATGCATGAGTGGAACAATGTAACACAAGAACAGTTATTTAAATAAAGACTCTGGTCTTAGGAAAAAACTCTTCAAGTATAGTCTTAATCTTTAGCTGTAGCAGTTCATGGTGACCTCTGTAGACTTACTGAAGTCAGGTTCTTTATTTTGTCTTTTTACAGAGGCACTCCAGTTTTGATTTTATCTTTTTAGTCTAGATCTGAGAACCTGACAAGCATCCTTTCTGTCTTAACACTTCAGAATGACATTTTACAGTCAGCTTCTCAACTCCTCATCTCAAGTTAGCACTCATTTCAAATCTAAAATTAGATCAGATATTGAACTTCCCAACACAAGGATTTAAAACACTTTTCATTGGCATATGCACACAGAAATAGTGTGTGTGTGTGTGTGTGTGTGTGTGTGTGTGTGTGTGTGTGTGTACATGGAGATATATTTGCTCAAGAAGACAGAACAGAGAATCATAATAAATATAGGCATATGTATAAATACTGTATCTAGAAATTAAAATGAAATAATTTGCAGATGATTGGATTTTGCACTATAAAGTGTCACTGAAAGGCAACCAACATTAAGTAATCTACTAAAGAATTCAATATTCCACATGTACATGTGTTTGATCCAATAGTCAGTAATTAAATATATTGATAAAAACATTATGTGAACAATTACATAAGATTTAATATAATAATTTTAACATTTCTGAAAGGTCATTGCAAAGCAAACAAGCCACTCTTAAAAAACAGTATGAAGTTATGAAAGATATGTGGACACAGTAACATATGAAGGTTAACATTTCAAAGTAATCTAATTACATAGAGATATGTACTTAGATGGGAAGCAAGTTTGAAGATTATGGAATAGCCAAGCATTAAGGTATTGAGTTATGTTTGTGTTTATAAAATTTTATGATCTATTATATAAATAGCACTTCCAAGTCAGAGTTAATTTTAAACCCACATATGCAGATATTTCTATTTGTATAAATGAGGTTATATGGAATAATGCATGCAGTGTGGAGAGGTACCTCTGGAGGAAGATAAGGGAAGGGTAGCCTTGAAAACTTGGAAATTCAAGTTTTTTCTCATGTTACTTCCGTTGGCAGGCATGATCTTCTTTGTGTGCATATGCATGCATCTGCCTATATGTTTACATATAAAAATATGCATATCACTTATAAGGAAATGTACATATAATAATACTTCAGTAAGTTATGGAGAAAAACAAAATGATTACATGACACATTGTTGAGAGATTATTCTCCCAGATAATGAATGACACAGGAATGAGTGATCAGTTTGTTCCATATTTAATTAATTTTCTTGAAAATCACTTAATAAGTAATGATTGCTACCTTTTATAAAACATGAGATTGATAACACACTTTCCATTTGGAATGAACTCAAATGAAAATGTAGCTAATGATCTGACACACACTGCAGCAAAAATTTAATGCTAAAATAGTGAGATTTTTTTCATATGTGAAAACAGGAACTGATTCATAAAGAAACTGAGAAAAATTTAGGACAGTTCAGAGGTAGCATGCTTGCCATTAAGAAGGACTGCAGGATGCAGGTGCATAGGACAGAAAAGTCCTGTTTGCTCCCAAGTAGAAACAGGGACTCAGGCATCCAGGTGAAAGACTACCCAGCTTCAGACTGGAATGAAACAGAGCTCATAGGATGGAGGCAGAGACAAGAGACCAGTTTGAACTGGGGTGGTGTCAATGTCCTCTGGATTGACCAAAGGTTTTAGAGTAAAATGCTGTAAGATGTTGGTCAGGATTAAAAACATCTCCATGCGGGCCAGACCTTCTCCAATACAAGCTCTTCTTCCTGAAAAAGACATGGCGACTGACAAGTCTTTTAATTCTGATTCTGTGTTGACACACTTTGGATATATGTTAACCAATGACTAATTACTAACTTAATTACCCAGCAACTGACTGTATTTTTGCACTGTATTGATTTCTTCCTTTCCTTCCATTTCTCAGTACAAATTTCTTTTCCTTTTTAAATTTTAATATTCCTTTATTTCACAAACGAGTAATGTTGTTACATCATTATTACCCCTTCCTTTCCTGACTCCTAGACCTTCTGTATCACACACCATGCATTCTCAAATTCATGACTACTTTAATTATTCTTTTAATTTTTTTCCAAAACAGAGTTTCTTCATGTAACAGTCTTAGCTGTCCTGGAACTTGCTATATAGAACATGCTGGCCTTGAACTCACGGAGATCCACCTGCTTCTGCTTCTGGAGTAGTTCAAATAAAGGCATATACTACCATGCCTGGTTGATTATTCTTGTCAAATATATACAAATATGTGTAGTATGTATACCGAGCAAGAACCTACTGAGTGCATTTAGTGTCATTCATATTTATATGTCTTAGTCTCAGAGTATTCCTATATCTTATTACTAATTTAATTGACAGTTTCATGCATAGGTATAATAAATTCTGATTACACTTATTTTCTACACACACTTCCCAAATTTCACAGGGCAAGATCTCACTCTACTAAGCCTCAAATTAAAAAAAAAATGTATTGAAAAATATGTTACATCTGGGCATGGAGGCTCATGTCTTTAATCCAGTACTCAGGAGTCAGATTTCTGATTTCAAGACCAGCTTGGTCTACAGAGCTAATTACAGGATAACCAAACTTAAGCAGTGAACAAAACTATTGAAAACAAGAAGCTGAAAAATTGTATTTAAATAAGGGAGCCATGTTTCAGTCTTATCAAGCAGAAGAACTTGCCAACTTCAGCTATCTGGTATTAGAGTCAGGCATGTAAGAAACAGGTGGTGGAATCTTTCTGCAGCAAAGGAAAGGGGCTGAGGCCAGGTATGTGTCTGGGAGTACTGCATAGAAGCCCTGAAAGGCCACTGTGTAAATTTATAAATGTGACTCCTAGATTTTACTAGATACCCCAACATATAGGAGGTCCAGAATCATGGGATACCTACCAAGAAAAGCTGTTAACATTGTGGAACCATCTCAAGAGAGAAAAGTATGCTTTGGGCAACAAAGTTGTAAAGAGTTGGAGATCTGAAGAGCACTTTGAGACCAGACATGGAGATACAGAATTTGGAGTTTAACAAGCTTATTTTTGGTCTTGCTTTGGTCCAATACTTCCTTACTATGCTCCCTTTCCTCTCATTTGGGACGGTAATGGGTATCCTGTGCCACCGTATGTTGGAAGTGTGTGATCTCTTTTGATTTTGACTTTACAGGAGATTACACTTGAGTCTCCAAAAAGACTGAACTTTGGACTTTCAAACAATATTGAGATCATTATAGACTATTGGGACTTTTAAAGTTGTTCTGAATGTATTTTTGCATTATGAGATAGACACAAGCCTATGGGAGCCAAGAAGTAGGATGTAATTGTTTGAAAAAGAATAACTTTCATAGGCTTATATATTAGGGCATGGCATTACTTGACAAGGATTAGAAGGTGTGGCCTTGTTGGAGTTGTAAGACATTTTTAGAGAAAGTATGCCACTTGGGATGGGCTTTAGGATTTCAAATGTTCAAACCAATACCAGTATCTCTCTTTGCTGCCTACCAGTTCAGATGTAGAACTCCCAGGTACCTCTCCATCACCATGACTGTCTGCATGCTGCCATACTTCCTACCATGAAATTAATGGACTAAAACTTCTGAAATAGTAAGCCAGTCCAAGTTAAATGCTTTCTTTTATAAGATTTGTCATGGTCATGGTATCTCTTCACATAACAGAACAATGACTGAGACAGTACATGTAAAATGTTCTTTGGATTTACAGTGACCTGACTCCTCTGGTTAGAGAGAAAAGCCTCAGTAGAATCAGAGCTCCCAGAAGGAGCTCTTGAGAAGCTCAGCAGAATCAGTAGTGGAGCCTCTAGATCAATGAGAAACAGATTCAAATTGAGATTCATGCCTCTGGCCTCATGAATATAGCTATTAATACCACCCACAGGATTCTTCATGTACATCCTCTTCATGTCACCTAGGCCTTAACACATATGAATACAAAGCTTACTTGCCTGCTGAAAAAGCCATAAAGTAGTCACTCTTCTTGAAATTGCCTCGCTCATCCAGAAAGTGGCCAGGGTCAAACTTCTCTGGATTGGGAAACTCTTTGTCATCATTCAGAACAGAAGTCAGACATATCATTACACTTGTGTCCTGAAAGAAAGAATACCAAAATTGGTTTTGAAGGAAGTCATAGAAATGAAAAGTCATATGTTCCATGTGAAAGACCACATCAATCGTAGGCCTAACAGGTCTTAAATACTATAATTTGCATTCCATGTTTTTGCTCATTGACCTCACAGTCACTGTCACTAGTTTGTAGTTTGATGCCAGTAGCTTGCCGAATTAAAGAAGTACTGTAGAGTGAAGCAGTCTTGATATACCTTCAGCAGTATCATCTCCCAGGGCAATGCCATTGAAAATTCATCTCAAGTTGGTGGAAGAGGAGGTAGAAAGATTATAAAAGCCAGTGGAGCTGGAGGAATCAAGGCCTTCTAGACACAACAGGGCTGGTAAGCTATATGAACTCACCAATACCGTGGCAGCATACACAGAACCTTCAAAGACGTAAGGCAGATGGAGTCCCAGCTCTGAGAAGAGATATGGATACATTGCCCCAATCTTAACCCAGCAGCTATCCCAAATTAATAACTACTCACCTAGATAAATGGTTTCTCCAGCAGTTTCTCTGGGGACACAAACAAGCACACTTTATAGCAGGCAACATTGCCCAGCAGTAGATACCCAACATAAAACTGACTGAATGCTATGTTTTGGAGGATTTACTCACATAATGCACTGTCAGGCTTTTTTTTTTTTCAATTTACATGTCTTTTGTTTATCTATTATGGTTTCTGGGATTTCTGTGTGTGCCTCTGTATCTGTATGTCTTTCATGTACTTTTTCTTTATCTCCCTTTTTTTTTCATTTTTTGGTTCTATTCTTGTTTGTTTTGTTGTTGGTGTTTTTGTTTGTTGTTTGTTTCTTTAGTTGCCTATTTCCTAATGAAAGAGAAAAAGAAAGTGTGTAGAGTTGGGTGATTAGGGAGGTAGAGAGGGTCTGAGAGGAATTGGGGGAAAAGAAACCATGATCAGAACATACTCTATGAAAATACTTAAAAACATTTTTATTTCAACAAAAAAGAAAATCCATCTCATTGACTTTAGAACAAAGTATTAGTCATTTTATAAAACCACGTTGTTATTTTCTTCCAAAACCTTCAATCTATGAATCAGAAAAACAGCAGAAACAACCTCCCCTCCTAAAAGCTGTGTTCTTTCAGGAGAATTGTAAGATTCTGATAGATAGAGGCAAAAACTTCTAATTTCAAGATTATTAGATTATTGAGAGAAGTAGAATTATAAGCTAATATAATTAATTAGAGTTTACTTTACAAAATTAATGGAGTCTTAGCCTATGTCTTAGCCTTGAGCTCTGTAACCATACAGAGGCCAACATTTCAGTGGTTTATTTTATTTTATTTTTTTTAAATCTTTTATTTTTTTTATTAATTACACTTTATTCATTTTGTATCCCCCCATAAGCCCCTCCCTCCTCCCCTGCCGATCCCACCCTCCCTCCCCTTTCTGCATGTATGCCACTCCCCAAGTCCACTGATAGGGGAGGTCCTCCTCTCCTTCTTTCTGATCTTAGTCTATCAGTTCTCATCAAAAGTGGCTGCATTGTCCTCTACTGTGGCCTGGTAAGGCTGCTCCCCCCTCAGGGGGAAGTGATCAACGAGCAGGCCAATCAGATTATGTCAGAGGCAGTCCCTCTTCCCATTACTATGTAATCCACTTGGACACTGAACTGCCATGGGCTACACCTGTGCAGGGGTTCCAGGTCGTCTCCACAAATAGTCCTTGGTTGGAGTATGAGTCTCTGGGAAGTTCCCTGTGTTCAAATTATCTTGTTCTGTTGCTCTGCTTGTGGAGTTTCCGTTCCCTCCAGCTCTTGCTATTTCCCACTTCTTACATAAAATTCCATTCACTCTGCCCATCAGTTGGCCATCAGGCTCAGCATCTGCTTTGACAGTCTATACTGCAGAAGCTTTCAGAGGCCCTCTGTGGCAGGTTTCAAGGTTGTTTCCTGTTTTCTTCTGGCTTTCAGAGGCCCTCTGTAGCGGGTTCCGAGGTTGTTTCCTATTTTCGTTTTCTTCTGATGTCCATCCTCTTTGCCTTTCAGGATGGGGATTGAACATTTTAGTTAGGGTCCTCTCTTTTGCTTAGTTTGTTTAGATGTACAGCTTTTAGTGGGTTTATTCTATATTGTATGTTTATATGAGTGAGTATATACCGTGAGTGTCTTTTTGCTTCTGGGTCAACTCACTCAGGATGATCCTTTCCAGGTCCCACCATTTACCTGCAAATTTCATGATTTCCTTATTTTTCATTGCTGAGTAATACTCCATTGTATAGATGTACCACAGTTTCTGCATCCATTCTTCAGTTGAGGGGCATCTGGGTTGTTTCCAGCTTCTGGCTATTACAAATAAAGCTGCTACAAACATGGTTGAACAAATGTCCTTGTTGTGTACTTGCGCCTCTTTTGGGTAAATGCCTAGGAGTGGTATGGCTGGATCTTGAGGAAGCGCTATTCCTAGTTGTCTGAGAAAGCGCCAGATTGATTTCCAGAGTGGTTGTACCAGTTTACATTCCCACCAGCAGTGGAGAAGGGTTCCCCTTTCTCCACAACCTCTCCAGCTTGTGTTGTCCCTTGAGATTTTCATCTTGGCCATTCTGATGGGTGTAAGGTGAAATCTCAGGGTTGTTTTGATTTGCATTTCCCTAATGGCTAAAGAGGTTGAGCATTTCTTTAAGTGCTTCTCTGCCATTCGATATTCCTCTGCAGGGATACAAGGCACATATCTAAACATAGCAAACGCGATATACAGGAAGCCTATAGCCAACATCAAACTAAACGGAGAGAAACTTAAAGCAATCCCACTAAAATCAGAGACAAGACAAGGCTGCCCACTGTCTCCATATCTCTTCAACATAGTGCTGGAAGTCCTTGCTAGAGCAATAAGACAGTTGAAGGAGATCAAGGGGATACAGATGGGAAAGGAAGAAGTCAAATTATCACTATTTGCAGATGATATGATAGTATATATGAGTGACCCCAAAAACTCTACCAGGGAACTCCTACAGCTGATAAACACCTTCAGCAAAGTGGCCGGATATAAAATTAACTCAAAAAAATCAGTAACACTCCTGTATACAAAAGACAAAAGGGCTGAGAAAGAAATTAGAGAAACAACACCATTCACAATAGCCACAAATGACATAAAGTACCTTGGCGTAACCCTAACCAAGGAAGTCAAAGACTTGTATGAAAAAAATTTCAAGTCTCTGAAGAAAGAATTAGAGGAAGATATGAGAAGATGGAAAGATCTCCCATGCTCATGGCTTGGCAGGATTAACATAGTAAAAATGGCCATCTTACCAAAAGCAATCTACAGATTTAATGCAATTCCCATCAAATTGCCAACACAATTCTTTACAGACCTGGAAAGAAAAATTCTCAACTTTGTATGGAATAACAAGAAACCGAGAATTGCTAAAACAATCCTCTACAATAAAAGATCTTCTGGAGGTATCTCCATCCCTGATCTCAAGCTGTACTATAGAGCAACAGTTATAAAAACTGCATGGTACTGGCATAGAAACAGAATGGTGGATCAATGGAATCGAACAGAAGACCCAGAAATAAACCCACACACTTACGGACACCTGATTTTTGACAAAGATGCCAAAACCATACAATGGAAAAAAGATAGCATCTTTAACAAATGGTGCTGGTCCAACTGGATGTCTACATGTAGAAAAATGAAAATAGATCCATACTTATCACCCTGCACAAAACTGAAGTCCAAGTGGATCAAAGGCCTCAACATAAAACCAGACACATTAAATCGGCTAGAAAAAAAAGTGGGGAATACCCTAGAACTCATTGGTACAGGAGAAAACTTCCTGAACAGAACACCAACAGCACAGGCTCTAAGAGCAACAATCAATAAATGGGACCTCATGAAATTGAAAAGCTTCTGTAAAGCAAAGGACACCGTCATCAAAACAAAGCGACTGCCTACAGACTGGGAAAGAATCATCACCAACCCTCTATCTGACAGAGGACTCATATCCAATATATATAAAGAACTAAACAAGCTGAAAAGCAACAAACCAAGTAATCCACTTAAAAAATGGGGATCAGTGGTTTATTTTAATCACACAAAAATTATCATATGTGTATCCTACCACAGCAAATATAAAATAACAATATATGAAATGTTTTTATCTTTAGTGTTAGAGGTTACATGTAAGCACATTCACATGCTAAAACCATTATGACAGTTATGGCATCATAACCATAGCCCGCCATGATTGGACCATGAAGGTAAAATGCCTTCAGATCTGACATCCTTCCTATATCAGTTTAGAAAGAGAGTGGGTGTTCTGACAAGATACATGGTTTTGGGTAAAAGGAATGTGTGATTTGGAAGCATTCGATAAGAAATAAGAACACAATGTAAGGTCGCATGGGCTGCCCATCAGGGCATTTTGCCTGATGATGCAAAGGAAAGGTGTTGCAAGGCACAGCAGCCTTTGCTTACCAACTCTCTATCTGGGCATATACCCTGATTTCTGAGAGGGTTAGAGCTGTAGCTAGAGTGTCCCTAACATAACAATACCTATGGTAAAGAGGGTAGAGAGAGAAAAGAGGACTTAGAAGTAACTAAGAGCTCCGAAAGCATACTAGACTATCTTCTGTAAGGCTCTGGCTAGGGGATTGACAGCTTACATGAGGGAGGCAATCCCATGACATGATAACAGAACTACCATCAGGAGGGTGAGAGCTGAGATACATACACTACTATTGAGTAATACACCTAGAAAGGAGAAGCTGAAGTCCCTGTATGTCCAGGGGGAAAAGGTCATGATTAGAACATTAGATATTATATGATAACCCCATATTCTTCCAGAAAAAAAGTTGACAAAGGAACTCTACCTGAGATAATATCCATGAAAAAGGCTAAACCACAATGGCAAGAATACTGCTTAGACTAATACAATGAAAATAATCTGTCAGCTCTTTTAAGTTCCTTTGAAAATAACAAGCAACACCTTTACAGGAAGATAGTATAACAAACTCCCTTCAAAACAGCATTCAAATGCTTAACAAGGTTTAAAAAAATATAGTAGGTACAAGAAAGAAAGAACTGTAAGCCTTAATGAATGGGAAACTATCAATTAATATGAATGACCTGTATTATTGTCTAGATTTAGAGTGATCATATAAAACTTCAAAATACAGCCAAATACAAATGTAACAGTTGTAACCAAATGTAGAGGAGGCACTGCATTTCTAAATGAAGGGATTTGTAATTAATATAAACAAGTACTACAAAGTATAGAATATTAGTAAATAAGCAGATTAAGATTTTACTAGATGAAATTAGAAGTATTAGAAATCATCCAGACTTTAGACAGAGGACAGGGAGTCTTGTGGAAGAAGGGGGATATAAAAGCATGTGGAGGGGACAGAGCCACACAAGTAGACCAACAAAGACAAAAAAAAAAAAAGCTGGGCCCAGGGGGGACTGCTAAGACTGATGCATCAACCAAAGACGATTCAAAGAGAGGATCTAGACCCCCTTGCCAGATGTTGTTCAAAGACAGCTCAGTTTCAGTATGGGTCCCTAATAGGGGGAGATAACACAGTTTCTGACATAAACTCTTGGTTGCCTGCTGCTTGATCACTTCTTCCTGGTGGGGTGACCTAGCCAGCCCACAGTGGAAGAGTATCCTGGCAGTCCCGATGGAACCTGATAGGCTAGGATTAGACAGTAGGGGGGAAGACTTCCCTTATCAGTGGACTTGAGAAGAATAGGAGAAGAAGAGAGAGGGAGGGTGGGGCTGGGAGGAGATGAGGGAAGGTGCTATAACTGGAATAAAAAGTGAATAAATGGTAAATAAGAAAAAGATCAAACATAAGACATTGGTGAACTTAGAGATCTATAAATAGGGAACCAGCTGAGATATTCCACATGATGATCTCCATTCGAAACACACACACACACTTAGAGTAGAACTTGGGCAAAACTACAGATATTGTGGAATCTGAAAGGTGCTTGAAAAATGAAGACGAAAGGGGAGGAGGTCCTCCCCAATCCATGGACTTGGAAAGGCGCAGGGAGAAGCTGAGGGAGAGAGGGTGGGGTTGGGAGGGAATAAGGGAGCGGGATACAGCTGGGATACAGAGTTAATAAAATGTAACTAATAATAATAAACAATAATAAAAAAAGGCACAAAAGAAAATTGAAAATAGTACAAAATGTGGTTTCAATTCTCATGGTATTGTCCAGAGAAGAGCTTCTAGGGGAAAGGACTGAATGACTACATCTTGGCTATATAGCTCTAGTCTCCTACTTAAAGAACCAGTATCAACCTTCCTGTGTAAAGTCCACACAGAAGCCAAAAAGGAAAGGAATACATCCTAGAAACAGAAAGGCCAGAGATAAAGGTCCCAAAACTTGCTGGGTGATATCGATAACATATCTGGAGATTTCATGAATTAGGCATGTTTAGACCAAATGTTAACATATGTTATAAAATACTCAAAACATTTCCTGTGACCACCTACATAATGCAAAGACATCTTCAGACAAAGAGAAGTTCTGACTTTGCCTTCAGAAAACTTAGAATTCTATTAATATTAATTGATATTCAATAATATTAATAGTGCAGGGCCCAGGGAGATGCTCACTGGAGAACATGCTTGCCAAACAAGTGTGAGAACTGGACCGATGTTTGAGTGGAATCCTTAAACTAGCTATGTGATGTTTAAACCTGTGAGTCAAGTAGAATAAACTGATTTTATTTACTATAAACAATGTTAGTAAAACTAAGTAGGAAAAAGTGGCAGAAGCCTATAAACTCCGGTGCTCAGGGGGCTAGTTCAGAATAAAATAAAGTTTCAAATTAAATTATATATATATATATATATATATATGTGTGTGTGTGTGTGTGTGTGTGTGTGTGTGTGTATGTATGTATTAAATATGTGTATGTAAATGATACCAAAGTGTTTGATATCATATCAGTTTACTGAGCTGCATAGATGAGTTCCTCCAAAGCAAGAAAGAGGACAACATTATATTGGACTTCTTCTATGTAAGTGAAATGGAAACTATGGAGGGAAATGTAAGTATAGAGAGAAATGGAAACACAGAAGTATGGGCAATTGACCAGAGCAGTAAAACCTATTAAAAGTAATCATGTGGACAGCAAATTGCAGTAACAGATAAAAAGGGTATGGACATATCAATGTACTAAAAGATTTTTTATTTTAATTTTAGTTTTATTAGTTACAGTTTATTCACTTTGTATTCCAGCTGTAGACCCCTCCCCAACCTTCCTCTCCTTCACCTATGCCTCTTCCCCAGTCCAATGATAGGGGAAGTCCTCCTCCCCTTCCATCTGACCCTAGCCTATCAGGTCTCATCAGGACTGGCTTCATTGTCTTCCTCTGTGGACTGGTAAAGCTGCTCCTCCCTAGGTGAAGGTGACCAAAAAACCAGCCCATGAATTCATGTAAGAGACAGTCCCTGTTCCTATTACTGGGGAACCCTCTTGGACACTGAGCTGCCATGGGCTACATCTGTGCAGGGATTCTAGGTTATCTCCATGCATGGTCCTTGTTTGGAGTATCAGTCTCACAAAAGACCCCTGTGCCCAGATTTTTTGGTTCTGTTGCTCTCCTTGTGGAGCTCCTGTCCCCTCCAGGTCTTTCTATCTCCCCCTTCCCTGTACTCTACCCAAAGTTTGGCTCTGAGTCTCAGCATATATTTTGATACCCTACTGGGTAGAGTCTTTCAGAGGTCCTCTGTGGTAGGCTCCTGTCCTATTTCTTGTTTTCTGCCTCTTCCTATGTCTGTCCTGTTTGCCTTTCTGAATGAAGATTGAGCATCTTGCTCAGGGTCCTCCTTCTTGCTTAGCATCTTTAGGTGTACAGATTTTAATATGTTTATCCTATATTATAAGTCTAATATCCACTTATAAGTGAGTATATACTATATGTGTCTTTTTGCTTCTGGGATACCTCACTCAGGATGATCTTTTCTAGATCCATCCATTTGCCAGCAAATTTCATGATTTTCTTGTTTTTAATTGCTAAGTAGTAGTCCATTGTGCAAATGCACCACAATTTTTGTATCCATTCCTTGATTGAGGGACATCTGGGTTGTTTCCAGCTTCTGGCTGTTACACATAAAGCTGCTATGAACATGGTTGAGCAAATGTCCTTTTTGTGTACTTGAGCATCTTTTGGCTATATGCCTAGGAGTGGTATAGCTGGATCTTGATGTAGCATGTGACATTTAAAAGAATATCAACAAATGACAGACAAAAGTAGCATAAAATGAGGAGTAAGAAGTTTGTGTGATGATTCTAGAACCCTTACGCAAGGTCAGGGCACCTGCAATGACATTATTTGATTGTTGACAGGAAAAGATCCCTAGTGAGGAAATAGATGAAACACGTCTCACCTTGGGAATGTGGTATCCTCTAAACTCCACATCCTGTGTTGTTTTACGAGGCAAAGGAATAGGAATAAGATCAATGTATCTCTGGATCTCATGCAACACAGCATCTGTGTAGGGCATTTGGTTCCTGTCCTGCATGCAGGGGCTCCGGTGGTTGCCAATTACACGTGCAATTTCTTCCTGAATTTTAGCTTCAAGATCAGAAATCATAGTTTTTATGAAAAGAATTATCTTTCATATGATTATTGATCATGTTCAAGTTGTGGTAGAAAGTAGAGTTATAAAACTAAAGTTCCTCCATCTCTTTAAGAGGAGAAAACCTAATACAAAGATGACACATTTCTATATATGTGACTCAATTGAAGCCAATATAAAACTCCTAGAGATTATAAACATTTTTAGCAAAGTAAGAAGATATGAAGTTAACATATAAAACCAAAACTTTCCCATATACCAATTGCAAACATGCTGAGAAATGAATTGGTAAAACAAACACATTAATAGCAACATCATACACATATAATTGTTCAGTAACAGGAGTAGGTAATGAAAATATAATATTTAGGCAAACCGAACTCAGAAAGAGAAAAACTGCATGTCCTCCCTCATAGGTGGACCCTAATATTCTGTCTATGTGCATATATATAAACAATTTTAAGTGTGGAGACCAAGGGAGAGTAGCATCCAGTGATGAGGAAGGATTGGCATATAGGTAAAAGGACCATATGGGCATGAAGGAGGAGAGGAGTTCTGGGTAATGCTATGGGAGGGGTGATTTAGTAAATAGAACTCCAGAAACTCATGAAATAAAGTCAATTATTGATAAGAATATTATGAATTTAAAAGGCCTTTTCAAAAGAAAGGAAATGGTCAGTTGAGTGAAGAGGGAGCTGACAGGATAGATTTATATCTAGAATATACAATGAACACAAAACAAATAATCCAATCAAAGAACGAGCTACAGCCATGAATGGAGTTCTTAAAACTAAAGCATAAGTGACTAATAAATATTTTTTAAACTATTCAACATCGTTGATCATCATGGAAATACAAATTAAAACTCCTTGAAGATTCTATCTCACTTGATTGAGAATGGCTAACACAAAGAAACACAACATCAAATGCTACTGAGAGTATGGTCAAAGACCAACCATTAATTGCTGTTTGTGGGAGGACAAACTGGTCCAACAATTCTGAAAATTAGAGTGAAGATTTCTCAAAAAGCTAGAAATAGGATCAGTAATGACCCAAATACACCACTCTTAGGTACTGCCCCAAAAGACTTTATATCTTACTATAGAGATATTTGCTCATTCTGGTTCACTGTTGCTCTATTCACAATATCTAGGAACTAGAATAAGCCTAATATTCCATGCCTAATAGATGTACGTTAATAGATAAATGGAGAATTAAAATATTGTACATATACACATTGGTATTTTATTTGACTGTGGGTAAAATGAAATTTTAAAATTTGAAGGTAAGTTGATGGAACTAGGAAATCTTATCCTGAGTGAAAAAATAAAAGTCCAGAAAGACAAATGCCATATGTTCACTTATAACCTAAAATGATTAGATTTAAGTCACTCTTCTTAGGACAACATTTATTTCTGGTACTGCAAAGCTGGTAAAATACCTATTTTAACAATGTTACAGGCTTACAAGGGAAAGCTATTGCTTTTGTTTGGCTAAATGAATTTGGCACACATCCAATTGCCTTCTAAGAATTTTTTATTATTATATCTATAGGTTGGTGCTCCTCCAAATTTGGTGGAAAAGCTTCTTTTTATAGTAGGTGATAGTTATTTAAGAGGCTGCTCAAAGAAAATAAGTGATGTTTGAATGTTCAGCTATAAATGGGAAATCTATATTAGCCCCTTCAAGGCTCAGAAAGCATCTCAGAGGAGGGCACACAATGAAAGTAACACATAGCCATTGCTCTCTTGAATGATCAGCAGCTATGATTAGTCACAAAACATCTGTACAAGGCTGGTCCTTTCAACCTTTCCTTATTGTGAGGGGAGGAATTCATGAAGCCCAAAACCTTTCTGAGTATCTATAAGGAGTTAATAGTTCTCATGATGTAGAGAGAGATTCTATTGAGTAATAAAGACACTGATGAATTGCTGATAATCCAGTAAATAACCTATCACCAGTGATCAGGAAAATAAACCCAATTAAACTATTGTTTTATTGAAAGAGAAAAACAGACATAAAAGTATAAAAGGGACCAGTTGGTAAGAGAAGGAAGTTATGGGGAGGGAAAGGAAGAAAGAAAAAGTTATGGGGTATACTCAAACTAATATATATGTATGAAAGTGTTGTAATGAAACACACAATTCTCTATAATTAATGTATGCTAACAAAAGTTTAGATGATGTATGGCTTCTGGAAAAGAAATAAAGTATTTAGCAAGTTGTAGAAAAAAGTGTGAAAGGAAGTCCAGTTCTAGTTGGAACCTAACAAAACTGTTACGCGTTTGTCACAACCCAAATCAAAGATTCTGCACCATAGCAGGGTAAGTAATGGCCGCTGCCATTCCATTCCCTGCTGTGGCTTAAATATTTCATCCTTTCTCTACTGTGATCTAGTTTTAATTGGGTTCTTCTAGTTGGAGTTAAGTGTGCTAATCATGCAAAGGCTGCCAGTACGGCCCCTTCAAGAAAGAGCGAGGTAGTTTCTAGTGGTATCTGCCCATTTCTACCCAGATACTTTGCCCACCCATCTGTGGTCATACCTGTGACCTCTGGGTGCTTCAGTAAAAGGAAAAGGCCATATTTCATTGTGGAGCTTGTGGTCTCTGTTCCCGCATGAAACAGATCAGATACGGTGACGATCAGGTTGTCCATGGTGAATTCAAACTTCCTATTGTGTTTTTCCTAACAATTGCAGGTGAGAGGAATTAGTTTTCTTTGTTCCTTTTAAAGTTTTACAGGTAACAAAATCATTCAATATGACCCAAACATTTTGTAGGTAAGCTAGACATTAGAAAGTGCTCTACCTGAAGATAAAAGTAGATATTTGGAACCCTTAGGATTCCTTCATGCAGTTAAAACATAATAGAAGTTACAAAGTTCCAAGTTTTTTTTTCTCGTTTTTCACTTCTAACCCATTGGAGACCATAAATTCCTCAGTGATCTTTTATGGATTTAATGCATATCGAAATATTTAACAAATGCTATCAGTTCTGGCACCTGCTGGCTCTTGATTACATTTAAAGTCTCTGGACTAAACACATACAAATCATAAAGCTGGCACAGCTGCTTGACACATTACCATCAGAGCTGAGTGATTGCTGCAAACGCTATCACTATATCGATAACTTTGGGGTTTGGTCTCTGAGTGTCACATTCTTGGGGACTGCATTATGAGTCATTTTCTGTCTTTTCCTGAGAAAACTATGTCTGACTCTTTTCAGGAAAAAAAATATTTTTTTAATTAACTTTTTCTGGCCATTATTTGGAAGTGTTTGCCCTAGAGATCATTAAGCAGAGATAAACACAGAGCTAGATGAGGCCCTTACTCAAAGAATCTTCTTGGGGTAACTCTGCCCGTGAGCTAACTCAAACTGTATAATTGGTACAAGGTGAACAGAGACAATTGACAAAGTCTAACTGGCCAGGAGAATAGGTTACAGATTCAAGGTCTCTTTCTATTCTATGCATAGAATTCTCTGAAACTGTAGTTTAAAATTAGGGGGTCATACAAGATACACTCCTGAAGAAAAAACATTCAGTAAATAAGATAGATTGCCCAAAATAAACTTTTTCTACTTTATAGCATAGATGATGAAACATATATTAAAGAAGTTAGGTATTAGTGTGTGCTATTCATAAAAAGACTAGTTCAGACGTTTTCTTTTTCTGGAGAGCTCTCAAACTACAAACAGCCAACCTAAAAGCAGACTGCCATGTGTTTACTTTGGAGAAGACATTCTTTAGAGTCTTTAAGTTGGAGTTATAGGGTTAATAATAATAATAAAGTCTGCTTTGTTTGCATTTTCTAATTGTCACTGAACTTGTAACCCCAGACATGTAATGAAAAATCAAACATGTAACCTGTAAAACTTGGATAGTGGTTAGTCTCTCTTTGTTTTGTGAAGTCTGTACAAATAAAGAAGCAACTGATTGCTAGGCTTCCCAATTCCCCTGACTATTGGGACTCAACTATTGTGACTGACTCAATCTCCAGAACTCCTTATCACTTCTACAACTCCTTTGGAGCCCTGACTCTCAGCTGAAGAAGCCCTGCCCCCTCCACCAACAGTGAACTCCTCAAAGTAATCTCACTTTACAACTATCATCCTTTAGCTTACCTTCCTGTTAATCTAAACTGGAGCTTCCACAAAGCTAAGCTCTACTGCAAAAACTTCATAGAGCCTCTTTAAAGAAAAGTCCTGTGTTCCCTAGGTCATTACACTTGCTGTTCTTGAAGACTTATTTGCATATAATGACATTTTCTCATCACTCTTGAATGGGCATGTATGTGTTTTCATTTGCCTCAAAGTAAAAAACTAACATAGGACACGGTAAACATAAACTTTCTTAGTCTAAACAAACTGAGAAGTTTATCGATCCCTAACTATTCTATATGATTTGCCCAAGAAGTCTGTTCTACAGACAATGAATATGGCCAGAAGGAACACTAGTTTAAACATCCACCTTCACCAAGAAAAAGAAAGCTGAGTCAGAAACCCACAAATGTAAAGTAGCAAGTCAGGGTCACCTGTACCTTTTCCATTTTAATCAGGAAATGGTCAATAAAGTCCTGAGGGCTACTGAGGTTCAGAGATTCTTGATGCCTTTTTATTTCCCTCAATATGAATGCTTTAATTTCAGTCAGAATCTTCAAGTATTCATTATGGCTTCCTGGGAGATGGCATAAAGCAGGGTAGGCACTGCACAGCTGGAAGATAAGCAAACTTGCATTAGTGCAGTCAGCAAACCTTCCAGGCCATACTTGGCCATACAGCACTACATAAAGGTGAGCTCCATGTGCCTCCTGTGCTCCTGCATGCCTGGCATTCGGAGAAGCAGGCACAGCGTGGATCAGCTGATCGGAACTGCCACCTTCACAGCTTGTGCAGCAACCCCAGATCATGTTCAGTTCCTGACAACAGATCTCCAAAGGGGTGTGCGGGCTAATCCCACCGTTCCCTCTGTCCTACTGAGAACACTGAGATGCAGAATTACTAGTCAGAAATTCTGAGACAACAAACTAGTGATAGCAGGGGTAGAAGCAGTCTTTACCCCAGTTGACCCTGCACATAGTTTACCAGTCACCTAAAAATGGCAACACCAATGGGCGTGCTAAGGCAGAAGGAAAAACATTGGTCCTAACCCCTACTAAGGACTGCTGACAGACCCAGAAGTCTTCTCTGAGAATGTCTCCTAATATGTTGCAGAAAACAAAGTGGTCAGTTCTGAAGTCCTATACATACAAGCAACAGTAAACATACTCCGCAAGTTGCATTTATATATATTTGTGTGTGTGTATGTGTGTGTGTGTATCTAACAATTTTTAAAGAGGTCATAAACTTGTAAAAGAGTAAATGGGGTGGGGCCTGGGACAATTTGGAGAGAGAGGACATAAACTTGATGGGATAAAATGCAAGAAAATTATGTAATTATATTTAATTTAAATTAATAGCTAAGTCATCAAGCATTCAGCACTTGCTGCAATTAAGAAACAGTGCATCAAAAGCTCAGTACAGTATCTGAAGTTCATTACCATCTGTTCCTTCAGGATTAAATAGTCTTTTCCCACCTCAAGCATCTAAAATGGTGCAGCCAGCCAAGAGCAAGGACATCCTCTGACTACTCTCTAGTAAAGGGAGGAAACACCAACCAACCCACAAAAACTTTGACCCAAAATTTACCTTGCGCACAACATGTGTAGGGATAAAGATAGAACAGAGACTGAGGGAATGCCTGACCAATGCCTGGCCCAACCAAAGACCCTTCTTTCATTTCTTCTTGGAAAGTATTCCAATGTAGTGTTCCAAATATATGACTTCCAAGACAATGATGTAAATGCCTGCCAAATATTCATGCTTTTAAAATGGATATATATGCATATGTGTGTATACATATATAAATATATACATACATGTATAATGTGTGTTCATTTATATTTACATATATTTAATATTTTATATAATAATTTTTGTGTAATAATTAATTGTATATGTATATAAACAGACATATACATACAATAAAAAAGAAATCTTGAATTTGAATGAGAGCAGGAAACAGAGAGTTACATGGGAGGACTTGGAGGAAGGAAAGAGAAGGGGTAAATGATGTGATTATAATCTCAAAAACTTTTTTTAATATACCCAGTGGCTAGCTATTTAAAATCTGTCCTTTTTTAAATTTGGAATTAGTATGAATTAGGGACATCCAATACTTCCATCTTATTATAAATAACAATAAAATATTAATTATAACCTTTTCTTTTAAACAAGAAAGAAAGCTGAAGCTTCTTTGGGCAGTATACTTCATATGGCTGGACAATGGCTTCTTGTTCCAGTACTAAAGGGCAATAGTTTTATTTGCTCTCCATTGGCTTTGTTTTGTGGAACAAATTTTGTAGAAATTTTGTAAATAAGAGGAACCTAAAACCATTTAAATCATCTTCACATACTTTTGGTTGGATTTTTCTTTGTTGTTTGAAAATGTTTGTGATAAGGTATCACTATGTAGCCCAGGTAAGGCTCAGTCTTACTATGTAGCCAATGCTATATCACTGTACCCATCAATTTAGTTGCCTCTAAAATACTGTAAACCAATATTGCCCTTAAAGAGAAGATTCAGGGGTTGAGAAGATATGTTGTTCTTGCAGAGGCTAGAGGTTCAATTCACAGGACTTTAGTCAGGCATCCCACAACCACTTATGACTCCAGTTTCAGGAAATACACTACCTTCTTGTGGACTTAGAGGGCACCCGCTCTCAGATACGCACATACTCACAAACAGACACAACTGACACATAATTTAAAAAAAATTTAAATCATAAAGAAAACTTTAATATTAGACATACCAACACAATTTCAGCAACTCAGGAGGCTGAATCACAAATATCATGACTTCAAGACTAACCTGGGCTGTATAGTAAAACTTACAGAAAATGACAATACAAAGAAAAATCTTCAGGTTATGCAGCCTGATATTATCAATCCCCGACTAACTGCGTGATAATATGTGAACAAAGAACTGCTAAAGTATTTAAATGTAGAACTAATTGGGGAATGTGTTTGGCTAAATTACCTAGCGGATGGAAATTAGATTTTCTCAAGTATATTCTAACAAAAACAAAACTGAAAGAAGTGAGGAAGGAAGTGAAGAAAGGAAGGGGAAAAATCAACAGGAAAAGAAAAGATTCTCCAATAAAGGGGACAGTTATAGGACAGAATTTACAAGGCAGCTCATAGCTTCTTACTGCCCTCCACACCTTGTAAACAGTTGACAAGTCCGTACTTTTTTGAAGTTGATAACCACCCACATCCCCTCAGAATGCCAGTCCTTTGAGAAATCTGATTTCAGGACCACAAATCTCATAGCCAAATTTGCATTTGGAAAGTGAGGACACAGACAGGAGTCATACAACATTTCACATATAAATAGAACCCAACCCACCTGGACCCAAGGAGATGTCAAAATTTCAATAATTCTTTGAAAATTCTTCACGAAGCCTAGGAATGTATCATCATTGTAGTCAAAGCGATGCTGGAAAATGACAGCAGAGATCACATTGCAGGGAACACAGGCTAACAGAAAGTTAGGGTCACAGGGAGACCCTAGAACAAAGGAAGTTAGAAGTTGATATACAATTCTTATACAGATCTTAAATTTTCAAATTTAAAGAGTTGGGAGTGTGTGCTACCTAGAGAGGAATCATCACTATAATCTCCACAGTCCTGAAAGACACTGTATTCTGTGTCTTCCAAATAAACTATCCTGTGTGCTCCATCTAATTTGTAGTCTACAGATATTCTTTTTTTTTTTTTAAACAGGCTCCTTAAGTCCTACACTTACCGCTCTTAATCAATTTGAAATTTTTAAAGCACTAGCCCTTCCTTGATCTTTCACACCATTTTCAGGCCAAAAGGGGCTTTACCCTGCTTTCCAGAAAATATCATTATGTACTAATGAAAGTATCCATTTGCTGTCACATGTGTGACATCTGCACACTGCCTCTGGCACTGTCAACCATCATACCACAACCTCAAAAGAAAAAAGACAGCTTGATCTAAAGATGAAAGTTACAAGGACAACAGGCCTACTCACCTAAAAAGAAACTTTCAGTGTTTTGAGTTATGCAATAAGGAAAGAGTGGACCTCACTAAGAGTGTGAGGTTCAATGGAGAGGTTGGATGAAGATAATTATGAATAAACATGGGTCAGGAGACAAGGGAAAGTCATAATCAAGTGTAAATATCCCTGTTCTTTCACAACATTTTCAGACAAGGTTTGTATTGTTTTTCATTATATTACATTATTATGTTATATTTATTATATTATATATGCAAAAATCAGTTCCCATATATGTATAAACCCCAACACATTGTTTTACCTATTCAAACTTCAAAATATTATTCTACAAAGTTGACAGAGATCTCAAAGATCTGCAATGACTTTCAGACACTGTACGCTTTTATGTTACTACATCAAAGACTGAGATAAGTCTATCAGGCAGAAGTAGAGAGATTGAATGCACTACACTGCACCTAAATCAATAGAATACTATTACTCACACCTTAACATTCTAGAATCCATCAGAAGTTAAACACATGAAAATATCAGCACATTACATTTGAAAATATACTCACAACAGTCACACACACAATGCATGTAGCATGCTCTTTTCTGTTTCTGCAAATAACTGATACATATGTTGGTACTATATATCACACATTTAATGCCTGTTTACACACTTCATTCTGACTAATTTATCCTCAGATCAACAAGATTATGCAAATATTGTCTTTAATAATTATGTTTTATAAAATGCCAAGAAACTGTTAAAAATGATGTTTTCAAACTTCATATGATATTGGTTTAAAACACAATGATTCAACCTAGAAAATAAAATACAGTTATGCTAATTATGTTCTTAAAAACATTTAAATATTGGTGTTCTAGAACGTCACATATTTTGTGACCCTCACCTTGCTCTTCCTGTGCTCCTGCCCACTCTTTCTCCTCTGCTGTGTCCCACACCTGCAGCGCACACACACTCATGCATGGAGATTTATACTGAGGGAGGTCCATAATTTCCTTTCCTCCCATGTGAACAATTTACTTGACACATTAGATAATTTTGTCGCCTTGTAATATTTCTCAAGAAGTTACTGGACAATTTTCTTATTTTTCAAAATTAATGCAACCAAACTGCATATCTTTCCTCCTTCAGCCATAGCTAGTCACTTTTCCAACCTTCTGCCATTCGGTGTGGTCCTGTTGCTAGATAAACCCTGCCAATATCAGGTTGGTTTTCTATACTACTTCCATATCTAATTTAAAAAGCGTTTCTTATTTTCTGTGGTTATATCTCCTTCCGTAATCACATGAACACAAGAACCATAGAGAATACTGAAAATTAACTGGGCAAAAGCTAGTCAGCTTGGGTCTTGATAACGCTGGCATTATAGTTGCTTCATTTCTTACTGTTGTCATGAGAGCCAAGTAACTTCTAGTTATACTTCTGAATTCATGACTTTTTATTTAAAAAACCTATTTGTAATAAAAATTCATCTTCCCTATCAAATATAGAAATATATATGCACCATTGGTTTTTCTCAATTCTTCCACCAGACAAAGTGCTTCCTCCTGAATTCGATGTTCAATAGACTTCTTTCCCATTCCCATAGACCTTAAAACCATGAGGGAGAAACGCCGTGTTTGCTTCCATGTTTCTCCATTGCTGAAAATGATTCCTGTTAAAGCAAAAAAAAAAAAAAAAAAGAATTCATGAATTCTAGTTGACAGTATTCAGTTCAGGAAATAATACTCAGTCCTACACAGGCATAAAAGACATGGTTGTATCAATCACACCTTATCTGACACCTTTCTGAATGCAATCTAGTATTTAATGCAACCAAAATGCAAATCTGACACCAGATTTCACATACTGATGAGCTTGTTTCCTTTAACTTCTCAAAACCTTAAAGTAATTCAGTGTATCTTTGGTCTCCTCCATTTGCCGACAACAATGTTGAAGACCATGAAAGCAAAATACTTCCTTTACGATCACACAAACTAAAAACTGTGGTGAGACCAAATCAGTGCTAGATTTTCTGATTGTGTATAAATTTTAGAAAACTCAAGAGGCAATTCTTCAGAGAAGTGAATACTGAAATATGATTGGGTGGTGACGTGATTGCCTAGCATGGAGCGGAGATTGCATATGGATGCAGAGAATTCTGCATTAGAAGGAACTTCACATCACCATATTCCTCAGAAAAGGTGTATAGTAATTGAGGTGTTACTCTTTGCATTTTAACATTCATTTACTCCTTGCTTTCTAAATGCAAGGATCACACAATACATTAAAAAAAATCTTTAAAGATGACCAGGGTAAAAAATAAGCCCATAAAAAAAAAAAAAAGCTTGTCAAGGAGGAGTCTTAGAGAACAATACAGAGGAACAAAAGGTCCATTATTAGATTTACCATCACTCATTGCTCCATCAGACAACAGAACAGCTTTACATCAGTTTGAAAAACCAATGATTAACATACAATTGGTTTTTTTATATGAGTATTCAGCTTATGACTTCTTTCCTATGAATTACTGAAAAACAGTTAAATGATCAGTGTAAACCATAATATGAATATTAAATATTTCTCTGTTCTTAGGTTATTGACATATTATAGTACGCCCTCCTAATATTGAACAGTAAGCTAAATTTCCCAGTCATGCATGCAACCATGGAAGACAGTAACCCATATTCTAAAACGCCATGTGAGGTGATAGTGTTTGGTAGATTAACTATGGTAATTACATTTTCACCTTAGACTAGTTTTTGCTTTGATGGGTTTGCAAGGATGTGATCTAATCATGACTTGATAGACATCTACACTTAATTTTTAAAAGCATTTCCAATTAGGGGCAATAATTTCCGCAGGGAGAAACTATTTCTCTCACTCCTAGAATTCCTCAGTTGACTGTAGTTCTATGTGTAATAGGGTTGAGGCCTCATAGCATTCTCTCCATCCATTTTGGCATGTATATAGGTGTCATTCTTGTTCACCTCACATTTGGGAATTCAATTGATGAGACTTCATGGGTATAGCTTCTGAGCGTATTAAGAGACACACTCTCACAGCAAACACCCAGTCTTCTGTCTGTTACAGTCTTTCTGCCACACTTGTTCCTCAATGTTGCCTAAGCCATAAGTGCAAGAATCTGTTGTAGATGTATCCGTTGGGACTGGGCTCCACAACCCTGCACTAATTGGTTATCCAATACCACATAGTCATCCCATACATACAAGTAGCATTATACATACTGTGCATCATACATGCATATACATATATGCATACAATAACAATTAATGAAAAAGATGTCATAAATTAAAAAATCAAAGGGGTACATGAGAGGGTTTGGAGGGAGGAAAGGGAAAGGAGAAATATAATTATATTATTGTAATCTCAAAAACAATTTAAATAAAAAATAAAACAATTTAAAAGAAATAAAAATGTTTTCAATATCAATGCACCACATAAACACCAAGTATTCCTATGGTTTTCTCTTAGACAAGAATTGCTGTGTTTTATCCAGTTTCCACTATACTAAAATATTTCTTTTAAAAGTAAAAGAATGAATAGAAGTCTGTAAATATTCATTTCTACACTGGTTCTCATACTCTATACACTCTTAAAATAATAATAGACAAACGGTTCTCAACCTTCCTAATGCTGAAACCCTTTAGTACCATTCCTCATGTAGTAGTGGCCCCCAACCATAAAATTATTTCATTGCTACTTCATAACTGCAATTTTGCTACTGTTCTGAATTGTAATGTAAATATCTGATAAGTGGGATATCTGACATTCGACCACCAAAGGTTGAAAACCACTGATATCGATCCATCATACCTCAGCCCATGAAATATTCCTATCCTGCTGGTTTCCGCACTGTGCACACTTTTAATGTCATCTACAGCCATACCACAGTCCATGAAGCCTAATACTTAGTGACTCAGATATTTTGTCACTTTGCTTTTCTATTCTTTTGTCTCAGTATCTTTCTTGCTATGTTTACTGGATAAAATATGAGTATTCCTTAGTCAAAAGTTCAAACTTAATGTTTGATGGGGACGCTGTGATGTAATGTTGTAATGTTAATCAGAAAATTAACCCATTCAGAAAAATGGGTTAAAGATCCCCTATAAGCAATACACTCTTTTAGTGACCACTAGAGATAATGAGAAAATGTTAAAAAGTAAGAAAAAGGAGCCTGATTATTCAGTGGGCAGTGGACACTGTGTCTGTGTAATCAAATACAACACGAAATGCCATTAAAATCTAATATATTTTGATAAAAAATTATCCAAACATTTAAAAAATGAATCATTTTTACAGGAAAATGGAAGAAACAGTAAATTATTATTACAAGTAAAAGAATCCAGAACCTTAAAGACAAATGCCACATTTCTCTCTGTTATGGAGAACCTCACAGTGTGTGTGTGTGTGAGTGTGTGTGTGTGTGTGTGTATGTGCACATGTGTTTATATCTACAGGGAATAAAAGAAGAAAGACCATGAAAGAGGAAGAAGATATCAAAAAGGAGAGATTACAAAGAAAAGATAATATATGAAAGAAGAGGTGGGGCTATTGGAAGGGTAGGGGAATTGGTAAGAGGAACAGGAAGGGAAAAAGCAGTAGGGATATTAAAATTTTGAGTTAAGATTGCACTAACATGACATTAAAAATGTGTTTTGTATGTGGTCATTAAATTATTTTCAATTTTTACAAATGTTTTACAAAATTATTCATGGACTCATAAGTACTTCTATTTTCTTAGTTTTCTTCCCTATTTAGCTTTGTTATCTCTTGTTTAATCCTGGATGTGCCCCACAAAGGATCATACCTAACTCTTGACTGTCTTTACTGAGTAATGATGATTGCATTTTGCCAGAAAACTCATCTCCACGGTCAATCAGAGCTTCCTTCAGTGCTTCGTATCCATACAACACCACAGTGGGCTTCATGCCCAGGTACACGGTGAACACAGGGCCATACTCTTTCGCTAGCTGAAAATGGAGCCAGGTGAACAGTGAGGGGAATAATTTCATTAATACCAAAGAGATATTTTAATATTCACCCACTCATTGACTTTAAACCCATCAGTATAATAAGTAATGACATTTAAACAGCCATTATAATTATGACCTTGACAACATTGCTGTTATTTTTCTTCTACACAACAACAGAAAATGTGATACATACGTGTTCGAATTTCACTTCAACATTTTCCTGATAAACCCATATTTGCATCAGATTTCTCTTCCAGTCTACTACATTATTATAATAATTGTTTATTTATAATAATTGTTTATTTAATTACATTGTTTATTTAATAAACAATATAATAAGCTTCATGAGGACAGGACATTTCTTCCAGTCACCTCACTGTACACTAACAATTATCTCCTGCCATCCATTCTCCATATCATCTTTGGGCTGAGGCTGTGTCAGGGAAAAGATAGATTTCTGGCCATCCCTTCAGCCTTTGGGAAATGGCTGCCATGTAAATCAATGAAGAGAAGTCATTGACTCATTGTCCAGAAAATGGTATAATAACTCTCAGAATTTCTGAATTCTTAGTTATGTCCTTAAGTTTAAATTAATATATTATCTAGTAAAATGTAGACTTGAAAACTCATAAGGCAATAGATATTTTAGTAACTGAACACAATTCTATCTTCACTGCAATTCATCAGAGAACAATTGCTGTACTGAAAAGGGACTGAGAACAAGACATGAATAGAGACAATTCTCATAAGTGCCAAAAATCACTTCTCCAGATCTTACTATTTCCCACTTCTTTCACAAGGTTCCATGCACTCTGCCCAACAGCTGGCCATAAGTCTCAACATCTGCTTTAATAGTCTGCAGGGCAGAGCCTTTCAGAGGCCCTCTGTGGCAGGATCCTAACTTGTTTCCTGTTTTCTCCTTCTTCTGATGTCCATCCTCTTTATTTATTATTTATTATTATATTTCTGGGTGGCTTTATACAGGTGTCAACCCAAAGAAAGTCTCTGTATCTTTCTCTATCAAGTGGCCACCATGAAATTAAAATACCTTTCCTTGCTGTACTTTTAACTTTTATTCAAACACTTCTTTTAAGACAAGTGACCAAAACTAGTCAGTTGGGACTCCAAGTGTTAGGTTTTTCTTCTTCTCCCCTGATAACATCTGCATAAAATCTAGGACCACATATTATTTAGTAATAAGTGTAACATCTAAAGAAAGTCCACTGCATGCTAGCCAACCATCTTGGTTTCCACTACCATTTGTGTCTCATTCCAGTCCCTGAATCAAGTTTCCAGTAACCATGAGTCAGCTACCACCACCCAGAAATATGCAGCCATAGCCACCCATTTCTTATGATAGGACTAACTTCTTTTTAGAGTTTTGTAACCTGCTTACTCTGATACCCAAAGACTGTTTTGAGTAACCTCAACCTCTTAACTTGTTAGAACAGACCAGTTTTTGCTTCCTTGCATACATATTAAAAGTCTCATTGCGGGTTCATCTTAAAAACAAATAAACAAACAAACTCTTCCTCATACCTTTCTTCACAATATTCCTGAGATTCAGCTTTAAGGCTGTTGCCCTAATAATGGCCAATCAATAAATCTTTTAATTATAAGTTGATTGAGTTGATAGCCTTTTTTCAGGGGTCAAGAATTCCATAATATTTGGAGATCCCAGCAAGATCCTTAGGAGACTCTAGACTCATGCCCATGGTTTGGGATAGGCCTCAGTGGACTTGCATGTCCAGGGAGTTCAGACTACAAGGCTGCCACAAATTAAATGTCACTAGTAGGAGATAGATCCCAGAGGGAGTAAGCCCAAGGTGGGCTTGGTAAGTCCCAGGGAGCCCACACTGCCACTGCCTCAAATATGCAAAACAGAAGTAAGAATTGCCAACCAACATGCTTCTGAAGCTATGACAGATAAGTGACTCTTGGATTCCAGACATTTGGAGAGAAAAATGAGAGAATAGACAAAATCATAGACATAGTCTCCAGGACAGAGAGATGCCTTCCTATTGTTCTGACTTGGATACATGAAGGAAATTGCCTACCATATGTTTGAGTTCATTTGGTCCTCCCCTATTGTGTTGTTTTATTATATTTTCATGTTGTTATCTTTTGTCTGTTGGACTTATGTTTTCAATTATTTTACATAGATGACAGTCAGACTAAATACAGCCAAATCACCCCTGAGCTGTACGCTACAACATTTTCAAGATTTCCATGCGGCAGACTGTTCATGGATGCCTTCATGCTGTATCTCTCTGTGGACCCCCCCTCCATCTCCTTTTCCATCCTCTTCCATATCTCTCTGCCCCTCCCTCTCTCTGTGTGTGTATGTGCGTGCATGCATGTGTGTATGTGTGTGTGTGTGTGTGTGTGTGTGTGTGTGTGTGTGTGTGTGTAGTGAGTATCTGTATGTGTCTTTCTCATTGACTTGCTGCAGCCTGCTGTTTAAGTCCTAACTGTACATCTGGCAATACCTATGCCCTGTTTGCTCTGTCTCCAAGATGGCTCCTGTCTGTGACCATGGAGCTCTGGCTGCTGCTACTCCCAATGCTACCAGGCTGGGGCAATGAAGGTACCCTGAATGTGTAACCCTAGAGGGTTTCTGCTGCTCTCTGTACTTTGTAGCTGGCTTATACTAAGATTTTTTTTTTTATCTAAGCCTCCTTTGTTCTCTCTGGTTTCTTGCTATGGTGTAAAAAATATCCTTCTGCATAGATACCCAATGCTGCCAGAGAACTTTGCCCCTTTTTTATTATTCCACAGGTCTATCTCTATGTGGAAGAGGAAATTACTACACCCCAGGCAGAGAGGAAAGATTCCTCTCCACACCTCCCAGCTCCCTTGGATCTGCTTGGACCACAATAGCAGCTATTGTCCACATACACCTGGCTGAAGACTTCCAAGAGGAGCTTGATCAGGCAATGATATCCACTGCTGACAAGCCTTCAATTCCTCCAGCAATATATGAACTTTCTTGCTAGGTCCTGATCCAAAATAGGAAAACTAGACCTAATGACTACCACACACGGGGGGACTTGGATAGTATTGAAGAAATGCTTTGTCTATGTAAATGTATTAAATGTTATTTGAAATCATCGTTAATACCCTCAAGAAACTCTATACAGGGGTCTTTTCTGAGCCTGATACTCCACCAAGGACCATGTATTGATATAACCTAGAACCTCTGCTCGGATGTAGTCCGTGGTAACTCAGTAACCAAGTGGGTTTCCCTAGTAAGGGGAACAGGTACTATTTCTGACATGAACTCAATGGCAGGCTCTTTAAACTCCCCACCCCCCAAGGGAGGAGCAGTCCTGCTAGACCACAGAGGAGGACTTTGCAGCCAGTCCTGAAGAAACCTGATAAAACAGGGCCAGATGAAAGGGGAGGAGGTCCTCCTCAATCAATGGACTTGGAAAGGCACAGGGAGGAGAAAAGGGAGGGAGGGCGGGATTGGGAGGGAATGAGGGAGCAGGATACAGCTGGGATACAGAGTTAATAAAATGTGACTAATAATAATAAAAAAATAAACAAATTAATGAATAGATAGATAGATAGATAGATAGATAGATAGATAGATAGATAGATAGATAAAAAAGAAACTCTGTACAAACCTGCCCTTGAGATGTCAACCCACTAAGCAGTTAAGTTGGTTCAGTAAACCCTTGTGTTCCTGACCCCTGCCCTTTATTAGCTATCTGATAATGCTGTGTTTTAGTTTGATGCTTGCACTCTGCCTCATTCAATTTCGAAATCAGCAGATGAGCAATAAAGTTAAGGTCACTGCCAGTCAGGTTCTGGTTCGGTACCAAGCCATTCCCAGTAGAGGAGGCAATGACTGCAATGACACCTCTCCTGTATAAAGCAAAAAGAAGTAGTTGTTGGGCTTGTGGACCATGTCTCCAGAGGAACTGGCATGGCACAGCGATGGAACATGTTCAAATCCCCGAAATCTCAAATTTGAGACTTAAAATCTTATCCTGAGAACCAAAGATGTGGAATGAAGCTCCCTCCTTATTTCCAGTGCCTGTGTCAGGAGCACACAACACAACCTCCAAGTGGTCACAGGTGGTCAGTCATGTACGTTGTCACCTGTTATCCTTCCCTGTGTAAACAGGGCATCAACAGCATTCTAGCGCCAGTCCAGCCAATCAGATGCATTCATCCTCCAAGCCCCTCACCACTGCCCAAGGTTTATAATTTCCCTGTTCACAAACTAAAACACACCATCTGTTTAATCAAAGATCATCTAAGGCTTGTTTATTCTGGAAAATTAGGACTTCCCTCCTCTCTGAAGAATTTGTCCAGTGGGCCTCCAAGCTTGACTACTGGCCACACAGCCATAGCAGAACTGCTTCAGTTTGTGAGTCTGCTGGAGCTCATCCAGCAGCAAGGCAGTTGCTTGATTCACCTGAGTCAGCTTAGACTTCCTGGAGGCCTGAGCTCCATTGCTTGGCTCAACCCCAGAACCAGCATTTTAGTGATCAGAAGATCAGTCACGGGCATTTTCCCTCACCCTCTGCCATTACGAGGTCAGTTTGATCAACAGGTTGTAACTGTAGTATCATTGCCACCTTGGCTTCAAAACTCCAAGTTTCTACTGCTGCTGGTACCAGCCACCTCATTAAAATGAGCTAACTTTATGATAAAGGTCTTTCTGAGGTCAGGGATACAAGCTACATACATAGACATAATAAAGACAACATACAGCAAGCAATAGTCAACATCAAATTTAATGTAGAGAAAAAGTAAAGAAATTCCACTAAAATCAGCAACAAGAGAAGGTTGAATATTCTCTCCATATCTATTCAATATAGTACTTAAAGATTTATCTAGAGCAATAAGACAATTAAAGAAAACCAACCGGATACAAATTGGAAAGGAAGAAGTCAAAGAATCACTATTTGCACATGGCAAGATATTATACATAACTGTCCCCAAAAATTTTACTGGGAAACTCCTGCAGCTGATAAATACATTTG